ATTATTTTCGTGTAACAATTATGATAAATGGTAATTGTAAAAAAATTTAATTGCAATTAATTTTTCGGTACCCCTGGTTCTAAACATCCATGATTTTTAAAATGCTATGGAATATCTAAAGATGATTCTAGAGATTATATTCTTGTCCTAGAATATGCTTCAATGGGTTCATTGCGTCAAAACCTTCGCTCTGTGGCACAAGTGAAATGGAAGGACAAATTAACATTATTGCATTGTATTGCTTCTGATCTTCAAATAATTCATTGTCAAGAACTTATTCATCGAGATTTGCATAGTGGTAATATTCTACAAAATCATTTAAATAGCGCTTATATTGCAGATTTGGGACTTTCTATATCAGCAAATATAGCATTAAATGCAGAGAGACGTGGAATTTTTGGAATTTTACCGTATATAGCGCCAGGAGCTTTAGATAAGGGTTATTATTCAACAGCATCAGATATTTATTCATTTGGCATAATTATGTGGGAAATATTTTATGGAAAACCTGTGTCCTATAATCGAGAATTTGGGCAACGACTTCAAATAGAAATATGCAGAAACGACTTACGACCAACTATTACTGAGAATACTCCACAATGTTACATAAATCTGATGAATAAATGTTGGGAAAGGGAAACAGTAAATCGTCCATCAGTAATAGAAATCCGTGAAATCCTAACAGAATGGATGAGTGACGAAAATATTTTATTAGAATTAAATAAAGCGGACGAAGTATTAAAAAATATTAAAAGTACACATACACAGTTGTATCTTGATGATATTTACAAAAGTACATTTATTAGCTATACTACATTGTTTTATCAAGGTATCTATATTTATTATTTTGCATTTATAAAATTTATTCTTTAATATTAATTATATTGTTTAACAGATAATGAATTGAATGATTTAAATATGGATGAGTTGAATCTTAATGAATGATATCAAGTATAATTTGAAAAAGTGTATAATGTAAAATTCATTTTAGGGCTTACTGTAATCTTCGCAAAACAGATTTTTAGCAATATCATTTTTAATAAATTATCAAGTTTCACAATAATATGCACTAAAGTGCTAATTGGGGAACATCTCAAATGACAAAGTTTAAGTAGTATCAAGCCGATATATATATTGTAGATGGGTATAGAAAATTCATAGATTCAGAACCAACTTAAGTTGATTCAATATTTAAGCTAAATATAAATGTTATTATTGTTATGTAATATTAAATAATTATATAGAAAATTTTGGTTTATAAGTTTTTCTGTTAACTTGATTTGGGCCTTTTGTCTCTCCTACTCAACCTTCAAGTTTTGTATAAAAGAAAGATATGTACAATAATTTAATAACCTATTAGGCTGATGGCATTATTTAATAATTTATTGAATTTTTGAGGCAGAAAGTAGCATGTCAATAAGACAAATAGTATAAACCAACCAAATTGTTAGCTAAATTTCCATTAACTTTTTTACCATCCCAATATCATAATAATTTTTCTGTCGATTTTATGAAACTATTTTCAATATGCAGAAAATTTTGGAAATTACTAAAACATATTTTATTTTGACAAACTTTAAGTTTTGGTATTAATAAATCCTAGTAGTATGAGTTCATTTACACAGTAGATACGTCGTAAATGATGTATTATTTTGCGATAATAAGATTGTCTGTTGACAAAATAAAAAATTTTCTTCCAAAATATTTGTTGATCAAATCATTAAAAACTTATATAAAGAATTTTGAGAAATAAACCATTTAAATAGTTATTAAAGATACAAATTAGCTGTATAAAATTTTGCTACACTTAAGTTTTAAGATCCGAAGTCGAATTAATTCTGAAGTTATGAATGTTCCGCATCTGCCTATAACACATTCAAAAAACGTTATATGTAGAAATCTCTTTTTTAAAATTTATAATAAACTGCAATTCTGCTTTATTAAAAATGCAAAAAATAAAAAAATAAAAATAAAAATTGATGAAACAGAAAACAATTTTATTTAAAAAAATTAAGAAACACCAATTAATAATTTTATAAAAACTATTAAATAGAAAAAAAAAGCAGTTATTCCGACCATTATCTGAAAATATATGTATACTTCAGAATGTGATCCAATTAACGTTCAAGACGAACAGATCTCATATATAGATTGAATAGTTATCATACTGAATTATACAAGAGTCACGATCATGAGTAAAAATAGTTGTAAGCCGCAAACATTGAATAATGTACTGTATAAAAATTAGATATTGAGGATTTTCTTTGTATCAGTAGCCACCCATATCATTCATATTAAAATAATTTGTTTGATTATAAATGACCTTTGGACTTAAGAATATGTTTTTACGATTTCGTGCCTTTGTGAATATGATTTTCAAATCCTTTTTTTATTAAATATAAATAGTCTATTACTCAGTAAGTTTTTACTGTAAATAATAAATTCAATTATCACGAATAGATCCTCTATAATGCTGTAATGATAAGTTTTTATCAATCATATTAATTATGATTATATTTATGATATAAACTGCTATGTGGTTTATTAGTGCATGGCATTTAATTACGATGATAGAAAGATAAAGCATTTCTTATTACCAAGAATCAGCTGAAATGGGAAATATTAACGAAATGCTTCAAGTTAGTTATTGCTATCGAAATGGGATTGGAAATCAAAGATTTACTGAAGGCTAATTATTCGTGTCGAATGTAAATTATCTTTTTTATTTATTTTTTAAATTACAATAGAAAATGACTTTAAATATCACAATTGAACCTGAGTTACGAGGTGCTAAGCCCGCCATTATCATCACACGAGGGTTAAATGTAGTAAATTTTACTAGTTCTCAACACAGCATTCACCCTATTCAAAACTTGTTTGACATAAATATTATTATTTTTAAAAACAAATCAATATATAAATTTTATTTATATTGTAACTGACTCATTTCCTGGTTATACTTTAATTCTAAGAAAATATGTTTTAATCATTCGAATAAGCTTCTAAATTTTCTTTCGGGCTCGTATTCTCTTTTTGTAATATTTGCTGACAACCTTGCTTTCTAACTTAAATTTTTTGGCTATTATTTAGTGATGTTGACAGAAAGTTTTACCAACGCAATTGCACTAAAACTAGTGTAAAAATTAATTTTTCCTGTGCCTCCCACGAAAGGATGATTTCTTGTTGGTTGTTACAATAAATTTAGGCAGCAATTAAAAATCATAAAATACATGATATAAATATATTATTATTATGTGACATGTAATATAAAACAATTTTAACTACTGTATAACAGATCAAACCATTATATTATTATTATCTATGGGAAATTTTAGTTCTCTATTGATTATAAATAAAATTTTCAACTGAATAGTGTAATAAACTTAGAGCTACATACACATTGCAAATGCGTTTAGTAATAGGCAATTACTTATCGATAAGATTAGAATTAATTGCAGTTACTCGAGAATTTTGTTAACTAACCTCAATGATGAACGATTGAGTAACATCTCTTTTTACTTATGTATGATTGGCGCAGTACCCACCCGACTTAAGTATAAAAAATATTAATAAACCTATATTATAAGGTGAAGGTATAAAAAATATTTATTAATCTACATGATTATTTTATTATGAAATTTTAAAAAATTTTCGGGCCTTTTCGTTAGGGGTTTTTTTTAGTGTTAGGTTAGGGTTTGAGGGTAGAGTTGTTAGCAAAAAAGTATATATGAATTTTAGTAGGTATTATAGATTTAAATTGGGACCCTAAATTTCAGCATCAGCCAATTTCAG